AAGCTATTGCAATTCAAAATCTTGATATACTCCAGTTCAGTTGCATACTTTAATGACAAAACATCGCCTAAACTTCTCGCATCGATACATCTACAAATTAGTTGTTGAATGTCATTTGGGGAGATGACCTGAAAATCTCCATCTCTATTGATATTCAAATTACCCAAAACAACCATTTTACTTCCGGGACCACTGTACTTTAATTCCCCGAGTTCGCCTTCCCTGAACTTTCCTACAACAATTTTGTATGTGCTTAGTGATTGGGTCTCATCCCGAGATTTGAGGTACTCCACGTAGTTAGAGTGATCTTCAAAATGGCATTCCAAACTTTCCAACTTCCTCAAGCATCCTACTTCCTTTCCTTCAACTTTTACTAGAAAATATCTTTCCCCCATGTATTTTCCTCTCGCCTGTAGAAGCTGTTCCCCTAGTATCAAGACTTGCAGGTGAGGGAGTTTAGTTAATATCCCACAGGGAAACTTGTTTTCGCCACATCCATTCATTCTTAGATACCTCAGGCTGGATAGACATTCCATGCCATGAGGAATCTCTTCAAGTGGAGCACGAGCGAGATCTAACCTCTTCAGTGCCCTGAGCTTTTTCAATGTTGGTACACGGCTTAACCTCCGACAATGTTTGAGCAACAGTGAAGTGAGACCCACCAAATCAGAGACAGAATCAGGCAAACATTCAATAGCTGTTTCAGACAGATCGAGGACCTTGAGCCCATGCATTTGCTCGAAAAATGAACCCGCAATGAATCGCAACCTATGATTACTACACAGCAATAAGGTTGACAGATTTGGACACCTCACTGAATGGCTGGAACAAATCTCTTCAATTTGGTTGTGCATTAGTGAAACGGTCGTAAGTTTGTCTGTCCACTCCTCTGTATCCGGCAATTCTTTTAATTGTGCACCGGCTTTAACAATGGCTCTAGAGTTCTCTTCCAGTATTTGGATGGCCATGTCCCTAATCAAGTCATGCATCATTACAGCACCACCAAGACGTTTTCTTTCCAATAGGCAGACTTTTTCAAGTTTATCAAGCATGGAATGGCCTTCATCAAATTCTGCCTTCCTACTCGTCAGCCCTTGTATCACTCCCATATCAATCAAATAAAGTATCAATTCCAGTCTATTGATAGCAGAGTCTTCTGGAAAAAATGCACAATACAAGAAACATTTTTGCATAGCTTCATTGCTTAGGTGCGTGTAACTAAATCTCAATGATGAAAATACCCTTTCCATGCCATTTGGCCCAACTCTTGATTGTCTCAGTCGTTCTAAAGCATTACTCCACCCGTGTATGCCATCCACCACCTTCATGGTTCCAGCCATTGTTTTAATTCCTAGCGGCAAACCATCACACTCATTTGTGATAGATTTTGCAAATTGTTCCACTTCTGTAGAGAGATGTCTGTCATGTCCAAGGATCTCCCTGAACAAAGTCCAAGCATCTACATCAGAAAGAGGATTCACTATGATATTGTTTCGGCAATCCATTCGTCCACAAACCTCTTTTGATCGAGTTGTCATAATCAGCTTGCATCCTTTCAATGGAACAGGAATTCCCACTTCTTGTAGCTCAAAAGAGTTCCACAAATCATCTAAAATTAGAATCCATTTTGATTTCTTCATTAGTTCTAGTGACAATTCTGCAGCTATGAGCAACTCCTCCTCTTCATTGGAAAGAGATAACTTTATACGTTTTGCGATCTTCTTCTGCAATTTTTGAATGCTGAAATCTTGAGATACGGTCACCCAGTAAACATGAGGAAAAATATCAGCAATTTGTTGAAGCTCGTTATAGACATGTTTTAACATTGTAGTTTTACCAGCTCCCCCCATCCCGTAAATGCCAATGGTTGAAACTTCATCATCCATCAACCAAGACCATATCACTTTTTTATTCTCTTCAAATGCTTGACCCACTAGCTTTGTAGAGCCGATTGGTAAAGGAGCTCCTCTAGTCTCACTTGTGTTGTGTTTAAGCCCTACAGAAGAGTTAGCTCCTGCACCAGGCTGCACTGATCTTCCACTATTGTTCTCCATATCCTCCTCCTCCTTCTCCACTGGTTCTTTCCTCATTCTATCCATGTTCTGCACATCATTCATAATGGCATCATTGTTTACTGCTGGAGAGCAGAGTTGATCATCATATCTTGCGTGGCCAAGACACAATAGATCTGCTGGTTGGGATGAATCTTCTCGAGGCTCATAGACCTGATTAATTGATTGCCTGTCATGAGAGCTACCTCTCTCCAGAAGCGGCGCTTGCTCTGTTCTCGGTATAGTCTCAAATGCATCATGCGGAAGCTCCTCAGGGGAATAACGACACCATGGAAGCTCAGTCTCTGGACTAGCTTGCTCAGTCAGTGGTCTAGTCTCCGGTGCATTATGCACAAGTTCACTCCTTCCTCTAAACAAATCACGTGCAATTTCCCTAGTGAAAAAAGGTTGTCCTTGTGCCATTTCTACATGTGTCACTTTATTGTTATGTTCTTGAGCAGAAGCTGAAATTGCACAAGATAGTGGATCTCCTCTAGTCTCACTTGTGTTGTAATTTAGGACTCCAGAAGAGCTAGCTCTTGCACCAGGCTGCATAAATCTTCCAGTATTGCTCTCCACATCCACCTCATCAGCTTGATTAAATGATGGCCTCTCATGAAAGCTACCTCTCTCCAGATGCTCCATGTCTTCAACAGTGATGCTAGCCATCCAATCTTCGAGCCAAAGATCTTCTAGTTGGTGTGCCATCATCATTTCATTGTTCTGCTGTTGTGCTGAAGCTGAAATTTCATTAGTGACATCGTTATTGCTTGAGCCTGCTACAGTTTTAAGTTTCTTTTCTGGAGGGCCATCAATTGCTGCAAGGGCTGCGTCTTGGACATCTTGAGGCACTTGTCCACAAATTTTAACACCACGGCCTGTCACTCCTGCTAAATGCAATTTGATCCTCGAAATGGAAGTACCTTTGGCAAAACAATGCCCACAAAACTTACAGCTCATGCGACCATCATCCATCTTTTCAACATATTCCCAAAAAGATCTGTCAACATGATGCGAAACTGGATCATTCTGTCGAAGCATTTTGATAAGTGGCTCTGTAGAAAAGAAAAAAGAAAAAAGATTTGTCAACATGATGCCAAAATGGATAGATCAGGTTCAAAATATTGAATGAAAATTAATGGAAGTGACATGAATTGTAAAAGGGAATGTTGAAACTGAAATAAAAAAAAATAAAAACAGTAAAGAAATGAAAAAAGAAAAACCAATGAATTCAAGAATTACAGAAACAGAAAAAGACAAATTTAATTAGTTCTGAGAACTATAGAATATGATCATAACTCCAAAGTTTCTCAATAAAATTTCTACAACTTGTTTTGGCACTTAAAAGATCGAAACAATAATAACATGTGAAGAACAAAAAATAATATACCTGGATTCAGCTATTGATCGATGTTCTTCAAGTGCTGGTTTGCTGAGGCAGTATTCAGAAGAAGAAGAAGAAGAAGCACGGATCAGATAAGAGTATAGGTTAAGCTAGTTCATTGTGATGAGATGTGGAAAGGAAAATAGTTGTGTTGTTTGACAAGAAAGAAGTTGCTGGGAAGGAAGGAAGGAAGGAACAACTTTACTGATAGTTCATGGTTCTTTTTAATTTAATTATTTATTTTGACTAGCGCTGCATATAACTAAAAACTTCAACAAAGGAAGGAGCAGCCAATTATTGAGCTTCAGTGAGTTAACGTGTGGACCCACCCAGTTTTCAATCTTTGAAAAGCTCATCTGAAAATGTATGAGCACAGGCAAAAGGAAGCTGTGCGGTGTTCCACGTTTTTCCTTTTTCTTGTTTTAACTTAAGCAGTCCACTGTAACTTGTTTGCGGTCTGTCACTAACAGCTCACCTGTGCAAATCCCTTGTGATCCGACCCCTCCAGCACCTCTGAGCAATTTTCTTATGAGCAAAGTTTTCATCAGAGAGAGCTTAATTCCTGGAGAATATGAATGTCGATTTAGGGTTAAAGCAATAATAAAAAAAAAAAAGAGTATATATTCTCCATGCATGCATGTTGTTCTGAATCTGTGTCAGGTCTTGAAGATGAACTATATTTTTCCGACACAATTAGAGATCCAAATACCCTCTATCAAGTATAAAAACTAAAAATCAAATCAAGTAAAAAAAATATTTTCAAATCTTAATCAATTTTTTTTAGATATTATTGGAGATTTAAATCATTTTTATTGAATATTCATATGCAATGTTGTCAAAAAAAAAAATGAGTTGATTAATAAAATATTATGATTTTATAAATTAATATGTATCTAACATGTTAAATTGAATTAAAACTCAAAAATTAATAAAATTAATAAAAAAATTTAATTTAGTTAAATTTAACTAATTTCACGAGTTTGAAAAAAATATAAAATTATATATTTCAATAATATGTAATTTAATATTTTCATTGTTTTAAATTTATATCTTACAAAACTTGTGCAATTTAATAATTAAAGACTTGAATTTAATTATAATTATTTTTAATGATATAAGTTATTTGGAGATGTTATTTCCATAAACTTAAAATACTTTTTTTTTATATAATTTCTTTTACAAATTATTGACATATTAGTTGTTATATTACTCTATTTTATCCAATAAATGTATAGAAGCTAATGCTTTTATCGCTGGAATATGCCGGGTCCAAAACATCACTTTCATTATCTCTTTAAAAATAAAAATTAAGACTGAATTATATTCTTTTGATTACACTTTGAATGCGTTGTACCAATCCATGATACATTTGTGCCTATAAATTAATAAAATAAAGTATAAAGATCATGTGATTTAATTTGATTTTGTAATCATAATGAAATAAATCAAAGGAATTGGGCACCCAAACTCAACTAATTAATAACAAATGTTATTTTCAATTTTGCAACTATATATGGACATAAAGTATGTAAAATTCCAAAACCTTGCTGGCGACATTATCTATCTCATCTCACCTTCCTATGTTCTTGAGGTATAATTATAAATTATAAATTAGTCTGTGAGTTAATTAGAGATTTAACTAAAAACAGATATAAATTAATCTAGCCTAACAAACAAATTAATCCAGTTTAATTCAATTAAAAATAAAAATTAACTTGTAACCTTGTAAAAAAGAATTATAATATTAAGTTATTAACAAATTATTTATAGTTCCATTTTATAAATAAAATATAAGGAAGTTAATTGTCATTATTTATTATGAAAGTTTTATTGTATCTCATTGCTAGTTTTCTGTTATTACTATAAATATGTATGAAATAATATTTTTAATTTTTATACAGAATTATTATCGTCACTTATGAATTAAACAATCATGTCTCCATTTAAATCGTTAATAATGTAGTTCTTTCATCAATTCTATATGTTTTATTTATTTATTTCTTGAGAAATTAGAAAAATAAAAAAATAGAAGATTTGAATTTTTGATGAGATTTTGAGAAAAAATAATGATATTAAATATTGCTTTAAAATTTCTTAAATGATAAGGAGTAATTGGTTATTTATTATACTATGAGGATTAATCAATAATGTATACAAACTATAAGGACTATAATATAATTGCATAAGCCTCAAACTTTGGGTGCTTTATTTATGATGTCTCAAATTCGTTACTGAGATTGATAGTTGTCCTGATAGAGTTTCCTCCACTAACCCGACCGAGTCACAACTCAAAACTCTGAGTCGCAACCGATTCCGATCTCCTCTCAGGCACCGCTCTCTCAGCCCAATTACCACCATGCTTTACGCTTTAGGGTTCTGATTTGAGTTGCTTGGACTGATCAGGGTTTAATCCGATCCTGGACAGCGATGGTGTTGAGGTTTAATGTAGGAGGGAAAGTAGTGGAGAGAGTGGATTTGATAAGGAAGAAGAAATGGCCATGGAGATTAGATATTTTGCCATTTGCAATTTTGTATGCGATTTGGATGGTAACGATTGTGCCGAGCATTGACATTGTTGATGCTTTAATTGTTCTTGGTGGACTCATTTCGATTCATGTTCTGGCTTTGCTTTTCACTGCCTGGTCTGTTGATTTCAAGTGCTTTGTTCAGTATAGTAAGGTAATATAGCTGTTAGCGTGTGTTTGGTTCTGGATTTTGGTGCTCTGGTTAGGGTTTTGTTTTGTGATTTGGGGGTTTTGTGTTTAGGTTAATGATATTTATGCTGCGGATTCATGTAAAGTTACGCCGGCGAAGTTTTCTGGTTCTAAAGAAGTTGTGCCATTGCATATTCGTCAAGAAGTAAGGGGTTTTTTTTCTTTATTTAAGTGGAAATGTATTTTTTTTCTCTATGTTGGTAGATTGAACTGATAATTGGATGTTCTTAGTTGATGTAGGATAATAATGGATTCATTTTGCAGATTGTTTTTTCGGGGGTGTGAAAAATGATGTTAACTATAGAATGATAGAAGAATTGTTTGCTCATGGTGGTGATGGTATTTGAGCTGTTAGGGAAATGTAGTTTGTTGTAAGTGGATTTGATGAAAGTTGGGTGATTTTTGAGGTGGTGAGGATGAAAGCTAAAAATGGATTCACTTCACGAATTGTTTTTTCAGGGGAGTTAAGGATAGAATTGAATGCAATGCATGTGCTGGTATGGTGGAATATTTTTCATTTGATTTCATATATTTTGAATGGGAACAAATGCTCAAATGGGCAAAAATCATTTTCTGAAATTTCATGGTGCGGAAGTGGGTCATCTGGCTGGAGTTTTTATCGATGGCATCTTGTGATTTTTCTGAACTTTGGTAGTGGAGGGTTTGTCTACGTTGATTGGTCGACGTAGTGTCTCAAGCTGAATTAAATCAGGACAATGTCCTAATCAAAAAGTTTAAATTAATAAACTTCTGTTAACCTTTTTATGTCATGTTTAAAAAATGCCATTATCATCATTTTGCAAATATGCTTGTTTCTAATGTCATATGACTTTTTCAAAAGTATTGCATGATTTGAAAAAATGAACTTTGCAGTGGATGGTTTACCTAGATTTGACTGCAAAAGATACAACTTACATTTGGTGATCCTGTGGAAGTTTGTAGCTGATTTATTTCACTGCTGGAGTTGCAGACTACAATGTTTTAGGGCTTTAGAAATTGAAAACACAAGTCTGAGAGTATATAAATTAAAGAAAAAAGAAACAAAACTACTAACACTAATAGATCCACTGGGGTTTTAAGGAATCACACTCCCTGATGAGGAAAGTATCACACTCTCAAAGTAAAGGGCAGCACATTATTCATAATAATTTGTTCATATTCCATTGAAATACCATAAGCATATTTATATCAGCTTGAGTTATTGCTAACCAGTTGGATTCCTATCTAAGAAACATAAACAAGTCACTAATTTAATGACTAAGAAAAGAAATAAAGCAGGAAAATAAATGTCTGACCATACCACTAAATTTCCTGTGGTCTAGGAAATTATAGAATTGCCCTTGACCATACTAACTAGAAACGGCATCTGTGAAAATAGCTTGAAAAAACTTAAAACCAACTTGCATAACCAATCATCTAGGCTTTTATCTCACTCAATTTAAGCTTTGCTGAATATCTCCTTTTGTCCCTTGCTTGAATATGCACCCAAAGTCAAATCTAAATCTGTAGGCAGTATCAGGAGTTGAGAGTAATTTTATTGACTATGTAAGATTAATCAATACTGAGATTTCTAGTTTATATGGTTATAACTTCGCTTTATCACCCACTCTTTGTTTTTCCCTGAAAATTTCCTTTACTTGCATGTATAGTCAGCAGCATCCTCAACTCCAGGGGATGTGGAAGAATTCTACTTTGATTTTAGAAAGCAGTGTTTCATCTATTCAAAGGAGAATGGGACATTTCGCAAGCTTCCTTACCCTACCAAGGAAACATTTGGCTACTATCTTAAAAGCACTGGCCATGGCTCTGAGGCTAAGGTAGCTGCTGCTGCTGAGAAATGGGGACGGAATGTGTGAGTTTTTTCTATCTTTCTGTTTCATTCATTTGTATGTCCAATATTTGTGATCTATAAAATTAAGGATACCAGAGTATATCAATCTTGTCATGGGAAAAGGTCTCCCAAGTGTCCTTCCATTTCATTGTTAACTGGTTCTTTCCTTGTGGGTTGTAAGTTTGTTTCTTGTTTCCAGTGTCTCTGTACCAGTTATTTTTCTGGATATTCATATCTAATAACCTTGCAGTATTAATGGTAATAAATGAACAGTGGGACTAACTTTTGGTTGATGCTTGTTAAGGATAGCAAAACCAAATTAACTTTTGAGAGATTTTATCATTTGGAATGACAATATTAGATTCTAGGTTCTATCAACTTCTGATCAAACTTTTTTTTTTTTTCCACGTTCTCATTTAAAACTACTACATCAAATGCATTTAATTTAATCCCTTGTATATGGAACTTAATTGCTGGACTTTTGATATCTTGAATTGTTTGTCTATTAGATTTTCTATGTATTAAATAAGGATTTGGCATAGCTCTTTCTTGTCCCTGGAATGATGTCATGATTTTTTCATCGTGCCTGAACATTTGAAGCATTGTTTATCTGTGTTTTTATTTTGTTCCACTTCTTGATTGGGATTGTTTATGATTTTATAGATTTGAATATCCGCAACCCACATTCCAAAAATTATTGAAAGAGCAGTGCATGGAGCCTTTTTTTGTATTTCAGGTTTTGTCCTTAATCCTCATCCTTCTTCTCTTTTTCTCTATTATTAGGACT